TAATCGCATGTAAGAGATATTGTTTCTTTCCAAATGTATACCTTGTAATATACGAATAAATAAAGAAATGGTGTTTATCTAATCTAAAAAAAAAAAAATAATAATAATATTTTTATTAATAAAATTTTTTTATATTTTTATTTATTATCAATTTTGTTTCTTTAAAAAATAAATAAATAAAATAAATAAATTTTAATTTTTTAAAAAATATTAATATTATTATAATTGTTATATATTTTTTATAATTTTTTAAAAAATTTAATAGAATTTATTATAAAACTATTAAATTTGTAGCAAAAATTTTTTAAAAATTTTTAAAAAATTATTTATAATAGATAATAGGTTTCTAAATATCAGATGTAAAATAAGATATAAGAAATAATCTATATAAAATATATAAAAATACTAACTTGTATAAGTTTTTTATAAATTTTCTAATATAAATATATATTATTATATTTAAATATTTTAAATATATATACAGTAGAGCTTATCTATAATTATGTTATTAAACCAATAGTAATTTTTTTAAAAAATATTTTTATATACAAGTTATTCTTATATACAGATTTAATTTAATATAATTTTAATATATTTTATATTACTTTGAACCAGAATAAAAATATAATTATAAAAGATTTTTTATTATATATTCTTATATACAGATTGATTATAAACAGATTCTACTATATATACATATATCTATCTATAATTTAATATTAATGTTATCTAATTTTATTTTTTTAATATCAAGTAAATACCTATAAATGTTTGATACTATTTAACAAAATATATTATTTTAAAAATTTTTAATATTTAATTTATTATATTAACATATAAAAAATATTGTTTTTTTTATGATATCTTGTAATATATAAATCAAATAAAAAAATAATGTTTATTTACAAAAAAATAAATAACAATATATTTATATATATTTGTCTGTATTAAATTAATAAAGAAATTTGATATTAAAAAATTTTATTAGGTTTTTTATAACAACTGTTTATATTTATGTTTTTACTTATAATTTATTATTTTTTTTCTAATTTTCAACTTATATTTTATTTTGAATAGATAAGTGAAACTATTCAACTATTCTTTTTCAAATTTGTATATTGTTTACTCGAAAAAAAATCCAATTTAAGTTTACAAATTATTAATTGGATAATTTTGAATTTCCAGTTTTAACAATGGTTATTTGATTATGTAAGCTATCAAACGCGCAAAGCAACTACCAATTACATAGATCATAAAGTCCTACAACCCAGATTAAAATTGAGTTCTCGAAACATAATCTTATTCATTATTGTACAAAATAGAAAACCCCAATTTATATTCAAACTCGGGATCTATTTCTTAGGTTTGTTTTCCGAAATTTTGACAGGACACGTGAAAAAACATTCCGACATTTTTAAATCTTTTTTTTTTTACCGCAGATTAAAAGAGAACACATTTGAGCAAAAGTAGTTTTATCAGTAATATAATAACAAAATGGATAAGCAAGCTGAAGAGCAGAACGTTAAGTTAGAACAAAAATTGGAAAATCTGAAATCCAAGATGAGAACTGGGGTATGAATAGATTGACCATTTTTTATAAGAGACACCTCGTTGTTAATTAAAATGACTTTATAGAGTCCTACAGGAAATTCTAGAGTTCGACTTGATGATATTGAAAGTCGAAATTTTACATTGGAGGAAGAGGTATGAATTCAGAAATGGTCTTGGAAGTTGTCATGGAACAAGGCTCATAAATTTGTTCAATGTCATTAAGGTCAAAGATCTAAGAATTCAATTAAGTGGAAAAAAAAACGAGCTTGAGAAGGCTGTGGAATTAGCAAACAAACGTACAGGTAATATTCTAATAAAGTAAAAGATCGAGTGATTTTTTTTTTTTTGCAAACTTTTAACAATTTCACTCCATTATATATGGTAGCTGATCTCGAAAAGGCAAAGGCCGAATATGACGAGAAGATGAAAAGAATGAGAGGTTTATTGAATGCATCAATGCGTTTTGTGTTTGATCAATTTTTTGTTTTATTGAAGCTCACGTATAAAATTTTAGGTGTATTTAATGCTGCAAACAAAAATTTGAATGAATTAAGGCAAACAGTGGCTTTAAAAGACTTAGAAATAGAAGAGTTGAAAGCAGCTATGAAAAATTTAAAGGAAGATGACGAAAAATCCAAATCCTCGATGGATCAAAACCAAAGTCAGCATTCTTTATGAACAATGATAGATTAAAGGGCTGGGGGTCTATCAAGTTTGATAAATGTATTTATTTATATCTTATCTATAGAATCGTTGGAGAAACTTACCACTGAATTACATAGTCAAGCGGCTACATATAATACACAGATAGAACAATTGGTAAAACGACTATAAATTTCGATCTTATTTAAGTTGGGAATCGCGTTTACAATCCCTCCACTTTGACGAATAGGAATCCAAACTCCGACAAACGACGCAACAAAATGTTCAACTTAAGTCAGAATTCCAACAATATAAGGCAAGAGCGCATGCTTTGCTTCAACAAAGGAATTCTGGTTCTAAAAATGTAGAATCTGGCACTGACGTATCGGAATTACTTGCCACTACTAAAAAATTAGAATCGGATTTAAGGTTCGTGATAGTTTACTTATTTCTTCGCCTGTCCATATTTACATAATCATGGATCATGAGTTTGGTAATATTGATATTATTTCATATTAGTCTGAAAATAACAGAGTTAAAGTATGCACAAGATAAAATTATGGTGCACGAAAAAGATCTCAAACATTCGTTCGATTTAAATGGAAAACTTGAAAAAGAACTCGAGGAAATGCATAAGTCAGCGAAAGTGAATGCCGAAGAAATGCGTGCAACCCAAGAGCAATGTCAAAATCTTTTAGAAGAGAACGAGGGCTTGCGAAAAGGTCTGTTTCATAGTACATGACCTCGTTTTAGAGTACCCGGCAGATGAAACGAATACATAGGAAGTAGATTAACCATAATATATTTTTGCATCAGCTCTTCATGAAGCTGAAGCACGATATACAGCTAGTGTTAATGATTTTAATGAAAGACTATTGGTATCAACCGAAACTATTCAAAAGAAGCTCAAGCAAAAACAAGAAGAAAATGAACAATTACAATCGATATCGGAGGCAAGCCGTATATGCGATAAATATGCTTATCCTTTTAATGAAGGATTTTCAATGTTAAGATTTTCTCTCATATTTAGCATCTTAGCGAAGAATTGACGCAGTTGAGATCAGAGTTATCACAACGTTCCGAACAAATAGAAGAGTTACAGAAACAACTTTCTATCGCATCTGCTGGAAAAGCTCAATCTATTAGCAATAGTCCCGCTCTACGAGATGATAGCCGATCTGCATCGCCTTCATCTGTGACGCATAGGAATTCGACGCACAGTAAGCATCGTTATTTCAGTCGATTCTACTGTTTGTAATAAAACTATTAATGAAATCTTTGTTGTAAATTAGATTCATTATCGGATCTGTTGGCTGATACCGAAGAACGCACCTCAATAGTATCATCATCGACTTTGACTCTATCTGACAAAGAACAAGACCATGTTTTGCAGTTGCAACATATGGCGGAAATGTTGAATGAGAGTGAAGCTCATGTTCAAAGATTGATTGAGCAAGAGAAGGTATAATAATAATGATTTATGTTTGTATCGTTCCACTTTAAAATTATCTACATAATTTGTACAACTTTTTTCTTCTAGATATTAAAAGAAGAAATTCGTAAGCTAGATCGATTAGAGAAACGTCAAAATATAAATGTAGAATATTTGAAAAATGTGGTTCTGAAATTCTTCGAAACTGATCCTTCTGATCGTGAAGTGAGTTGTTTTCATTCGTTTTTGCATCTAAAAAAAAAAGGGTTATTAGTAATTTGAGAATGACCAACTTTTTCTACCTCTAAAAACTGTAAAAAATAATACGCGTGCTCATTAGCCATTGGTTCCTGTGATATCAACAATACTCCAACTGAGCCCAGAGGAAATACAAAGTATAAGAGAGAATGCCCTAAACGCTACAGATAACGGTCAAGTGGTTATAGGTTATGGTGTTTTATGAGGATAACACTGGAAGATTTTCTGAATAATGCATATATTAATTTAATAATAACATTATTTAATAATTTTTTTTTTTAACTTGAGAAAACAAAAATGATAACTTTAGAACAAAATGAAGTGTAAAACAAAGTCTGTAAGATTCAACTACAAAGTATCTGAACGTTTGTATTTTTGTAATAATTGTATAATAAATATTTAGGTTTCTGGGGAATATCAATTTTTCAATTAAATTTGTAAGAAAAACATCATTAAAAAAATATATATATAGATATAGATATATATATTTGAGCTATTATATGACACATTTCTAGACACTTTCACCTTATGAGAAAGATGTTGAAATCTTTTAGCGATACGAAATGAACAAAATAATTTTTGGCTCATCATTTAATTATTGAAAATGTGGAAACATTTTGTTATCCTATTTTTTGATCAAGTTTTTATCGACGATAATAATCTTTGAACTATAGAAAGCGAAATGTCAAATTATGGTTTCCCATTTCTCAACCTTTTTTTAAGCAATAAATGAAGATATTCATTTTAAATCTTTTGTAATGCTTTATGGAAGAAAAAAACGCTCTGAAATTACATGTAAATTTTTTTACGCAATATACATACAGTATATATACAGTATATATAATGTATATATTATTGCTTTTTCGTTTTTCCAAAAAAAGAGCATACTTAATATCGAAAAAGTTCTACCTGGGAAAATATTTTGTGATGATCGTATCAGCTTATTAGCTAGTTCCATAATACCTTCTCTTTCCGTCAACCTTTTCACTTTTGTCTTTTCCTCTTTCTCTCTTCTTGTTACTAGAACTTTTTGTGCGATAATCCGCGTATAATAGAGAATCTACAGTGGTATCTTTGTGACATTCTACAAATTTTTGATCACTCAACTCTTCATTTGTTTTTTCAACAAGTACATTGACCGATTCAAAATCTCTAGAATGTGATGTAATGTCGAATCTCGGTAACATTGGTTCACCAGCTAAT